TAAACAACCTTGGTGTCTTAGAATCCTAGCATTTCCTGATGGCGCATCCGACAGCTGTTGCACACGGCGCTTTTTCCGCTTTTAAATAATAATTTGCATGCAGAGAAATGGGAGCAATGGCTCAGGCCCTGTTACTTTCAAGAACTGTGTCGCTTCAAAACAATGGAGATGCTGATGGCAATGACACTGAAGGCTATGGCCTTCTTGGCTGTCAGGGTTCATAGAATCATAGCGTTGGAATGGACCCTCATGGGCAATCCAGTCCAACCCCATTCTGCCAAGAAGCAGGAAAATCACATTCAAAGCACCCCCGACAGATTTCCATCCAGCCTCCAAAGAAGTAGACTTCACCACACTCCGGGCAGAAAGTTCCTCTGTTGAACAGCTCTCACAGTGAGGAAGGTCTTCCTAATGTTCAAATGGAATCTCCTTTCTTTCCGGTAGTTTGAGGCTACTGTTCCTTTGCGTCCTAGTCTCCAGGACAGCAGAAAACAAGCCTGCTCCCTCCTTCCTATGACTTCTCCACACATCCTGATACACGGCCCTCATCATGTCTCCTCACAGCCTTCTCTTCTGCAGCTTGGTGAGATTTCTTGGTTTGGGAACACTGGGCTAGCTTATTCGTCTTGCCAGGCGCACACATCCACAAACGGCCCGCTGCTGGTACTATCGGAACTCAGTATCCGCGCTCCAGGTTTCGTTATCTGCAGCCTGGATCTCACTATCCGAGGTTGCATTAAATTACTCGATTCCATGTCTTTGAGGTGAGAGTAAGCACATATTATTATTATTATTATTATTATTATTATTATTATTATTATTATTATATTTTCTTTGTGTCCTTGAAGTGAGAATAAGTGCATTTTAATTTGATTATTATTATTGGTTTGTTGTGGGTTTTTCGGACGGTATGGCCATGTTCCAGAAGCATTCTCTCCTGATGTTTTGACTGCATTTATGGCAGGCATCCTCAGAGGTTGTGAGGTCTGTTGGAAACTAGGAAAATTGGATTTATATATCTGTGGAAAGTCCAGGATGGGAGAAAGAACTCTTGTCTGTTGGAGGCAGGTGTGAATGTTTCAATTGATCACCTTGATTAGCATTTGATGGCCTGACAGTTTTTAGGTGTGGCTTGTTACTGCCTGGGGGAATCCTTTGTTGTTTGGTGCTGGTACCTGGTTATCGGAACTCAGTATCCGTGCTCCAGGTTTCGTTATCTACAGCCCGGATCTCACTATCCGAGGTTGCATTAAATTACTCAACTCCATGTCCTTGAGGTGAGAGTAAGCAATTATTATTATTATTATTATTATTATTATTATTATTATATTCTGTTTGTGTCCTTGAAGTGAGAATAAGTGCATTTTAATTTGATTACTATTATTGGGCTGTTGTGAGTTTTTCGGACTGTATGGCCATGTTCGAGAAGCATTCTCTCCTGATGTTTCGACTGCATTTATGGCAGGCATCCTCAGAGGTTGTGAGTGTTGGAAACTAGGAAAATTGGGTTTATATATCTGTGGAAAGTCCAGGGTGGGAGAAAGAACTCTTGTCTGTTGGAGGCAGGTGTGAATGTTTCAATTGATCACTTTGATTAGCATTTGATGGCCTGACAGTTTTTAGGTGTTCCTTGTTACTGCCTGGGGGAATCCTTTGTTGAGGTGATTAGCTGATTAGGTGATTAAACACCTTCGCAGAAGCATACACGAAGCTTGGCCTGTCACTGAACATCGAGAAAAGTAAAGTGCTGTTCCAGCAGTCACCAGCCATCCCCTCTCCAATGCCAGAGATACAGCTTAATGGTGTAACATTAGAAAATGTTGACCATTTCCGCTCCCTTGGCAGCCACCTCTCCACTAAAGTCAGCATCGACACCGAAATACAACACCGCCTGAGCTCTGCGAGTGCAGCATTTCCCCGAATGAAGCAGAGAGTGTTTGAGGACCGGGACATCCGTAGGGATACCAAGGTGCTTGTCTATAAAGCTATTGTCCTCCCAACCCTGCTATACGCCTGCGAAACGTGGACTGTCTACAGACGTCACATGCAACTCCTGGAACGATTGCATCAGAGCTGCCTCCGGAAAATCCTGCAAATCTCTTGGGAAGACAAGCGGACAAACGTCAGCGTGCTGGAAGAAGCAAAGACCACCAGCACTGAAGCGATTGTCTTGCGCCATCAACTCCGCTGGGCCGGCCATGTTGTCCGGATGCCTGACCACCATCTCCCAAAGCAGTTGCTCTACTCTGAACTTAAGAACGGAACATTGGTGGGCAGGAAAAGAGATTGAAAGATGGGCTCAAAGCCAACCTTAAAAACTCTGGCATAGACAGTGAGAACTGGGAAGCCCTGGCCCTTGAGCGTTCCAGCTGGAAGTCAGCTGTGACAAGCAGTGCTGCAGAATTCGAGGAGGCACGAGTTGAGGGTGAAAGAGAGAAACGTGCCAGGAGGAAGGCGTGTCAAGCCAACCCCGACCGGGACCGCCTTCCACCTGGAAACCAATGCCTTCACTGTGGGAGAAGATGCGGGTCAAGAATAGGGCTCCACAGCCACCTACAGATCCACAAGGAAACCCATCATAGAAGGCCATCTTACTCATCCAACGAGGAATCGCCTAAGTAAGTGAAGCTGTCCCTGATTGTTTCTTGTCTGGAGTTCCCCTGTGTTTGAGTGAATATATATTCAATATATTCACCAGAATATATATTCAATTTCAAAAGTTATCCTTATTTAATATATAAACCTATATATATATATATTTATATGGGTTTATATATTAAATAAGGATAACTTTTGAAAGTCGACTGTTGTTGTTGTTCATTCGTTCAGTCGTCTCCGACTCTTCGTGACCTCATGGACCAGCCCACGCCAGAGCTCCCTGTCGGTCGTCACCACCCCCAGCTCCTTCAAGGTCAGTCCAGTCACTTCAAGGATGCCATCCATCCATCTTGCCCTTGGTCGGCCCCTCTTCCTTTTACCTTCCACTTTCCCCAGCATAATTGTCTTCTCTAGGCTTTGCTGTCTCCTCATGATGTGGCCAAAGGACTTCAACTTTGTCTCTAGTATCCTTCCCTCCAGTGAGCAGTCGGGCTTTATTTCCTGGAGGATGGACTGGTTGGATCTTCTCGCAGTCCAAGGCACTCTCAGAACTTTCCTCCAACACCACAGCTCAAAAGCATCGATCTTCCTTCGCTCAGCCTTCACTAAGGTCCAGCTCTCACATCCGTAGGTTACTACAGGGAATACCATGGCTTTGACTAGGCGGATCTTTGTTGCCAGTCTGATGTCTCTACTCTTTATTAGTTTATCGAGATTGGACATTGCTCTCCTCCCAAGAAGTAAGCGTCTTCTGATTTCCTGGCCACAGTCTGCATCTGCAGTCATCTTTGCACCTAGAAATACAAAGTCTGTCACGGCCTCCACATTTTCTCCCTCTATTTTCCAGTTGTCAATCATTCTTGTTGCCATAATCTTGGTTTTTTTGACGTTTAGCTGCAACCCGGCTTTTGCGCTTTCTTCTTTCACCTTGATTAGAAGGCTCCTCAGCTCCTCCTCGCTTTCGGCCATCAGAGTGGTGTCATCTGCATATCTGAGGTTGTTGATGTTTCTTCCAGCAATTTTCACCCCAGCTTTGCATTCATCCAGCCCCGCACATCGCATGATGTGTTCTGCATACAAGTTAAAAAGGTTGGGTGAGAGGATGCAGCCTTGCCGGACGCCTTTCCCAATCTTGAACCAGTCTGTTGTTCCGTGGTCAGTTCTGACTGTTGCTACTTGGTCCTTGTACAGATTCCTCAGGAGAGAGACAAGGTGGCTTGGGATGCCCATCCCACCAAGAACTTGCCACAATTTATTATGATCCACACAGTCAAAGGCTTTAGAATAGTCAATGAAGCAAAAATAGATGTTTTTCTGAAACTCCCTGCCTTTCTCCATTATCCAGCATCTGGATATTGGCAATCTGGTCTCTCGTTCCTCTGCCTTTTCTAAACCCAGCTTGAACATCTGGCAACTCTCGCTCCATGTATTGCTGGAGTCTTCCTTGCAGGATCTTGAGCATTACCTTACTGGCATGAGAAATAAGGGCCACTGTACGGAAGTTGGAGCAGTCTTTCGCATTTCCCTTTTTTGGTATGGGGATATAAGTGGATTTTTTCCAGTCTGATGGCCATTCTTGTGTTTTCCATATTTGCTGGCATATGGCATGCATCACCTTGACAGCATCATCTTTTAAGATTTTAAACAGTTCAGCTGGGATCCCGTCGTCTCCTGCTGCCTTGTTGTTAGCAATGCTTCTTAAGGCCCATTCAACCTCACTCCTCAGGATGTCTGGTTCTAATTCATTCACCTCACCGTCAAAACTATTCTCGATATTATTATAGTCTCGCCACCTTCTCTTGATCTCTTCAGCTTCTGTTAGGTCCCTGCCATCTTTGTTTCTTATCATACCAATTTTTGCCTGAAATTTACCTCCAATGTTTCTAATTTTCTGGAAGAGGTCTCGTGTTCTTCCTATTCTGTTGTCTTCTTCCACTTCCATGCATTGCTTATTTAAAAATAGTTCCTTATCTCTTCTGGCTAACCTCTGGAATTGCGCATTTAACGGGGCATATCTCCCCTTATATATATATATATATTCAATATATTCAACAGAATAATATATATTCAATTACAAAACGTATCCTTATTTAATATATAAACCTTTATATATATATAAATAAATATATATATATATACATGTACATATACATATATATATTTATATGGGTTTATATATTAAATAAGGATAACTTTTGAAAGTCGACTAGAAAGCACAAAAGAAAAATCTAGGCAGGCTTGATTTGTTCAGCTTTTCAGTCTAGGCCGAAGCCGCAAAGGCTCACGGGAAGTGTGGTGAAGGAAGGCCAAAAAAAAAGCTGCCATAACCGCAAAGCATGACGGAAAGTGTCCCCTTCGAGGGAAGAAGGAGAGGGCCATGAAGGGAAGGGCTTCTGACACACCTGGATCAGGACGCTGCCTATCTCTTCCGCCATGGCGCCTCAGAGGCCGAGGCCACGCCCCCTGGGGTGACGTCACCGCCGCCTTGGCAACGGGGCCTACAAAGCGGGCGAAACCATTCCGGCAATGAAATAGGGGAGAAGGGGTGAATGTGGAAAAAAAAAGGCAGGCACTTTTCTAAGAGGAAACAAAGATAAGCGAATTGATTGTTTTGTCTCTAGGATTGAAAGCGCAGAAATTTCAGTACCGTGAAATTTTTATTTTATTTTTTATTTTTTCCTTCCAAGGAATGGTACATCCCACGTATAACGGAAAGGGCGGGGCCTAAACCGGAAGCGGGAAGTACAAGGCAGCGAAAAGGAGCCATGGCTGTCCCTTGTGCCTTGGTGGCTGGCTGCGACGCAAGGTTCCCCGGGGAAGAGCTGGTGAAACGTGAGTCGGGCGCCTCTGGGCGTATGCAGAGTGCCGCCCATGCCTTTGCGCTATAGTTATTCCTCGTTGATGCCTTGCATCCGAGTCTGATTGCCTTCCAAGCACAGGGTCTTGGCCAGGCATGGGCCAACTCCGGCCCTCCAGGCGTTTGGGACTCCAACTCCCACAATTCCTAACAGCCTCAGGCCCCTTCTTTTCCCTTCAGCCGCTTAAGCGGCTGAAGGGGAAAAAGAAAGGGCCTGAGGCTGTTAGGAATTGTGGGAGTTGGAGTCCCAAACGCCTGGAGGGCCGGAGTTGGCCCATGCCTGGTCTTGGCAGTGGATCCGTAGGTGACCGCAGAGACCTATTATTATTATTATTATTATTATTATTATTATTATTTTATTATTAAACTTTATTTGTACCCCGCTAGCATCTCCCAAAGGATTCGATACGGCTTACACAGGCCGAGGCCTCAACACACAACACAACAATACAATCTAAGCAAATCAAACAATCTAAGCAAATCAAACAATTAAAACAATTAAAACAAACCCACCAAGAAAATCCAACAAATGCTACGTTCAGCAAAGGACAAGAGGGATCCTCTCACCTCTGCAGGAGTCTACCGTATACCATGCAGCTGTGGACAAGAAGTCTACATAGGGACCACCAAACGCAGCGTTGCCATCAAGGAACATGAAAGGCACTGCAGTCTACTTCAACCAGAGAAGTCAGCCATAGCAGAGTACCTGATGAACCAGCCTGGACACAGCATATTATTTGAGAACACAGAAATGCTGGACCACTCTCACAACCACCACGTCAGACTGCACAGAGAAGCCATTGAAATACACAAGCATGTGGACAATTTCAACAGAAAGGAAGAGACCATGAAAATGAACAAAATCTGGCTACCAGTATTAAAAAACTCTAAAATTACAACAGAAAAACAACAGAGAGGAAAAAACCAGGCACAGATTAACACCTCCCAGCAACAGATTTTCCCAGGCTCAGGCAGGCCTTCAAATGCTAATGAAGGTGATCAGCTAAACATTCACACCTAACTGCAGCAGGGAAGAGCTCCTTGCCCCACCCCAGCCATTCCACAGATATATAAACCCATTGTCCTAATTCCAACAGACCTCACTACCTCTGAGGATTCGATGCGGCTTACACAGGCCGAGGCCTCAACACACAACACAACAATACAATCTAAGCAAATCAAACAATTAAAAACAGAATAAAGCAAAATAAACAACAGGCACAATACACTAAACACAATAAAACTGGGCCGGGCCAGAGCAATGGGTACAAGATTAAAAGTGCTGATGTGACAGGAGGTGTATATAGGGCTTCCAGGGCAAGTGCGATGTGCAGCAATCATTGGTTCTGATAAAGTGCTTATGGGACTTGGTAGTGGAGATTTCCTAATCTGGGAAGGCGCATCGGAAAAGCCAGGTCTTCAAGTTCTTTCTGAAGGCAGCCAATGTAGGGGCCTGTCTAAGGTCTTTGGGGAGGGTGTTCCAGAGTCGGGGGGCCACCACGGAAAAGGCCCTGTCCCGCGTCCCCACCAAGCGCGCTTGCGACGCCGGTGGGATCACGAGCAGGGCCTCTCCAGATGACCGAAGTGAACGTGTGGGTTCGTAGATGGAAATGCGGTCACGCAGGTAGGCTGGTCCCAAACCGTTCAGGGCTTTGTAGGTAAGCACCTGCACCTTAAATTGGGCTCGGAATATAAACGGCAGCCAGTGGAGCTCCTTGAACAGGAGGGTTGACCTCTCTCTGTAAGGGGCCCCAGTTAGCATCCTGGCTGCTGATCGTTGGACCAGTTGGAGCTTCCGAGCCATCTTCCTGACCTTCTTGAGTTGAGAGAAGAGTAACTGCTTTGGGGGATGGTGTTCTTTGGGCATTCGGACAACGTGGCCTGTAGATCTTTTTCTGAATGTGCATAGACTATGCTATCATCAGCATATTGTAGTTCTATAACATGTTGTGACCTTCCTTTTTTGCTTTCAGTCTGATGAAGTTAAATAGCTTGCTGTCTGCCTGATAAATGTTTTCCACTCAGATGGGAAGCTTCCCATCAACAAAATGATGTATCATAGCAATGAAGACCGAGAATAAGGTTGGGGCAAAAACACATCTCTGTTTGATGCCTGGTTCCACCTTAAATTCATTTATTTATTTTATTTATTTATTTAGCAGTTTTGTATACCGGTCTTCTCACCTCCATCGAGGGACTCAGGCCGGTTTCCAACAAACAATATTACAAACAATCATTAAAACATCATAATCCAAATTACACTAAAACATTAAAATAGCAAAGTACAGTCATAATTACAGTGGTCAGTCGTCATCCTAAAATCATTGTTCGTCATAATCCATCCATATCACAGGATCTTGACTCATTCGTCGAATGCCCATTTCCATAGCCAAGTTTTCACCTGTTTTCTGAACGTCAAGATAGAAGGGGCTGTTCTAGTCTCCAGTGGAAGGGAGTTCCAGAGTCGAGGGGCCACCACCGAAAAGGCCCTGTCCCTCGTTCCCACCAGACGCACTTGTGAGGCCGGTGGGACCGAGAGCAGGGCCCCTCCAGACGATCTTAGCAATCTTGATGGTTCATAGGGGAGAATACGTTCGGACAGGTAAACTGGGCCGGAGTCGTTTAGGGCTTTATAGGTTAACACCAGCACTTTGAATTGTGCTCGGAAGCTAACTGGCAGCCAGTGGAGCTAGTGCAACAGAGGAGTGGTGTGCTCCCTGTACCCCGCTCCTGTTAGTAATCTGGCTGCTGCACGTTGGACTAGTTGAAGCTTCCGGGCAGTCTTCAGAGGCAACCCCACGTAGAGAGGGTTGCAGTATCAGTCCGTAATGTAGCCTTCCTCTTTTTACTACTGCCTTCTAGCTTACTAAATATTATTGTCTTTTCAAATGAGTCATGTCTTTTCATGATAGATGATAATATATTAAAATATTGCATGCCATTAAATGCTAAAGCAAACGAATCCTACAATATCATGAATGACTAGAACAATTGCAATCTCATGCTTTCAAATGTAAGGATGTCATACGAATGGATCGCTTTGGGCGCCATTGCTGTCCAATACTGTTGTCATCATGGAGGAACAGCAGGTTGTTCACAAATTTGTCATGGAATCCAATTTTTGGAGGATGGTCCAGAGAGCACTGCAATTCACTGTGTCAAATGCCTTTGTGAGGTCAATGAATTTTATTCATTTATTTATTTACTATACTTGCATACAGCCCCTCTCAGCCCGAAGGCGACTCGAGGCGGTTTACATTTGGCAATCAATGCCCCACAAGACAAAATACAGTCAAAAACAATTATATATAGTATAAACTGTATAAAAACAATAAACAATTAACAATTAAAACCATAAAATACAGTTCCCAGCGTCTCATCATTAAAATCATTTTCCATCACATTGTCCTGTTGTTCCATGAGTCTCAATTAATCAGTTATACTGCATCTGCAAATGCCTGCTCAAACAGCCAGGTCTTAACTTTCGAAATGTCAGGAGGGAGGGGGCTGATCTAATGTCCCCACGGAGGGCGTTCCATAGCCAGGGGGCCACCACTGAGAAGGCCCTGTCTCTCGTTCCTGCCAAACGGAACTCCAAAGAAAGCGGGACCGAGAGCAGGGCCCCTCCAGACGATCATAGTTCATAGGAAGAGATGCGTTCAGACTGGTAAACTGGGCCAGAACCGTTTAGGGCTTTAAAGGCCAAAGCCAACACTTTGAATTGTGCTCGGTAGCAAACTGGCAGCCAGTGGAGCTGGCGCAACAGAGGAGTTGTGCACTCCCTGAGTGCCGCTCCTGTTAACAACCTGGCTGCTGTCCATTGGACCAATTGAAGCTTCTGAACAGTATTCTAAGGCAGCCCCACGTAGAGAGTGTTGCAGTAGTCTATACGAGATGTAACCAGAGCGTGGACTACCATGGCCAAATCAGACTTCCCAAGGTACAGGCACAGCTGAATGCCAGTGAGGGGAAGCTGCCCTATAAAGCTCTCTTCCTACCAGGTTTTCATCCTCACAACAGTCTTTTGAGGCAGGCCGGGGCAGTACACATGTGTAGAATGTTAAACTGATAACACGATAACATCGTTAAATGGATGGATGATGATATCCCTCCTGCAAAAACAAAGTTTTTGCCATTTACTAAACGTTCCCCTCATTTTTATGATAGAACCAATGAGGAACTGACATTAATAACCTGGGAACATTATCCCATTCTTTCAGGCACAAATACACTGCCAAAGCTGTGCTGACAGATGGCCATGCAGCCTCTGAATAATGATAATAATGATGAAATTTGGTACCTGATTTGAAAGTGTGAGTTCCTGTTTAATGGTGCAATACTACTACTAATAATAAACTTCATTTGTATTCTGCCCTATCTCCCCAAGGGGACCCGGGGCGGATAATCCACATTGTCTGTTTTGAACTGGATTATATGAGTTTACACTGCCATATAATCCAGTTCAATGTGGATTTTATACAGCTGTGTGGAAGGGGCCTTAGGATGGCCTCTTCTACACTGCCATAATACAGATAATCAAAGCTAATAATCCAAATTATCTGTTTTGAATTGAATTATATGAGTCTACACCAGGCATGGGCAGACTTTGGTCCGCCGGGTGTTTTGGACTTCAACTCCCACAAATCCTAATAGCCTACCGGTCCTAAATTCCAGGATCTGATCCCAGATTATCTGCTTTGAACTGGATTATATAAATCTCTCCTGCAATTTAATCTGGGATAAGCACGTAATTTAGGATCTGGTCTCGGGATATAGGGCATTGTATAAATAGTCTCAGAAGGCATGGAGATGGACAAACTGATTGGACTCATAGAGGATAAATATTTGTTTGACTTCAAGAGAGGTCTAGGCTGGATTCACACTGCCGTAGAACCCAGGATCTGATCCCAGATTATCTGCTTTGAACTGGATTATATGAGTCTACACTGACAGATAATCTGGGATAAGAAGATAA